CTACAATGTTCATAAAGTCCTTTAGCTTATTATCTATACTTTCTTTTACGAAAATATTACGGCATTACGATATTGGCGTTGTGACAAATTCAGCAACTATTTCATATTTTCATTCTGGAGCTCTTTACTACTCTGAATTACTTAGTTAATATTTGCAACAACTCGCGATCTAATTTTCTCCCGAATATTATGTTCTCATTAATCGGTTTTAAACTTGACTTGTTCTCCTTTTCTCTACTAATCGTAAACACGTGTTTATTTTCTACTTCTCACAAACTAAAGCAAAAATGTTTATATAACTCTCCGACGGACGTATATCCTCCCGCTATCAAATCCATCTTAGTTCTGACTCAAAGAAAAAATGTTCATTATCACCTTCAATCTGAGTTCACGTGTTTCATTGTTACTACCGCAACTCGATGCGTTCTTGTCGCCCCCTCAACCATGCATCAAGTCCTCTGGTCAAGTGGACAATGTTTTATGTTAATTTCATATACTTTGTTTCCCCAAACATTTCTAAATTGTTCACAATTTATTTACCCAGTAGTATATTTTTATTTTCCGATACCTCGCATCCACAATGCCTTACTTCAATTTATATCTCGACGTAGTTCCTCATATTTTACCTGTCATATTGCGTTAATATTTTTTTCATTTTAGAATAGAAAATCCCGTAAGGTATTTGGCAATTTTGCAATATTAGTGATTACTTTTCTCTAATTCTTTTTAAATTAACTATTGAGAATCGTTCTAGCAAATGATTCGTTCAATGGTATGCATTAAAATTGCACATAATATTGTATTATGCATGCCAATTTAAATTAATTTTTTTATCAGTAACTTTACGAGGAATATTGTTTAAAATAAATTAGATCGTAATTTCACTTTGATCCTATTTGACTAAGGCAGTGATAGTGATAGAGGGAACATTCGAGTGACGTTAAGATTGGTTACGATCAAAACGCTAGTCATTTTGATTTACAGGTTGCGGCCGTGTATTTGCCCTTAAAAACCAGCCAATTCATTAGCTTAAAATGTCTAGTGAATCAATGTTGAATTGGCACCTCCAGAAACAAAAGAAATAGCTAAAATAGTGACCTCAGAATTATTGGTTCAACTTTTGTACTCTCTCTCTCGTAGGCCGACTGGCAAAACCAAAGCCACCTGATGCAGGTAGGGCAGCTGTCTCCTAGGTGGCCTTGGCTGAATACTGCATGTCAATTGCCACGAAATTATTCAATGTAAAAATTAAACTTACACAAGTTTCCATAACTCGTAGAAAAAGTACCGCATTATCGATGCAAAGGGTATTAAGATACTCGTATGAAGTTTACGATACTCGATCGTTCATCACTCGTATCGTAATATCACAATCGTGTAGTAGTACACATTATATCATCGTATCATAATGTACTATTATGCATCTGTTCTCGCAATATTCAAACACTGGTTTATAAATTTACTGTCAGCTATTGCGATACGAAAACGTTATAATATTACATTGTTCAAGATAGAATGAAAATTTGAAATTTTTTTATCCATTTCTCCACGTATGTGAAATAACAAACCCCGACAATGTTTCATATATGGAATATATATATATATATATATATATATATATATATATATATATTATATTTGAATAATATTTATAGTATTTAATCCACTTTTGAATAGTTTATGCAACTGCATATTGTTTATAAAAGGTTTGTTTTTGCGCAGGGAACTATGCTACTTTGGATTTTGTGCAGCTTCAAAAACAAATGCGCGAAGAATACGGCGACATTGTACGACTTTCAGGAATACATGGTCGGTGCGATCAAGTTTTTTTGTTCAATCCAGAATCTGTTGAAAAGGTGAGAGAAAAAAATACATGAATCCTTCCTTAAAATTATACTAGTCAAAAATAAAATGCATTTCCTTTCCAGCTCTACTATTTTCTCAAATGCTGGGAGGAAATAAGTCAATTTTCGTTACAAGAATGTTTTCGAATCTCGATGTATTCAGAGGGCAAAGAAGGGAACATAATTTTAAAAAATGTGATTAATATTTTTAGTTGAAAAATATTTAATGAACAAAACAAATCAGCGGGTAATGTAAGGCTTGAATTATTCTGAAAGAACATGGCTGAACACGAAGTTAAAATTCATTCGAATTTCCTTCTCATGCGAACTAATACTTCAAGTTTGTCAGCCGACAACGACGCAAATAACGGATAAATTAAATGGTTATTATATCACTCCCTTGACAGAGTAGGGGGACAAAAAAGTCAATTTCGAAAATTCCACCAATTTATCTTCCGCTGGGGGTGGTCAAGTGAACAAGCTCTAGGATCTCGCGCATTTGCCAACTGCAGGAACGTAATAGCGTTGTACTATTCATTTACTTCTCGTAATTCTGTATTTAAAATGAACTATTTCTTTCATAGGTTTTGAGAAATGATGGCCGCTTTCCCTATCGTGATGGTCCAGGCTCGATGCATTATTATCGTACCGTCCTGAGAAAAGACCGTTTCAAAGGCGTTGCGGGAACCATGACAACGTAAGCTAAAGTGCATAATAAGATATTGACATGGAAAAATAACACACATGATTAATGTTAACTTCTTTACCAGGCAAGGAGAAGAGTGGCAGAAATTCCGAACGAAAGTGAACCAGCCACTAATGCACCCTCGTTCTGCTCTGCGCTACCTGGGCAACATCAACGACGTCGCGGATGAATTTCTCGACAAGTAAGATTAGCCAAATTTCAACAGGTTTCATTCGATACACGAAATGATATCGAGAGCACTAGCGAAAAAGGGGGAGTAGGGTAAGTGACAAGAATTGCATGTGAGAAGAAAGTTCAATAACTGTCTTTGCTAGTGCGTAAACTACTGAGAAAAATATAAATCATTACATTTTAGTTTATTGTCTTTTCAAAATGTTATATTTGCCAATACATAAGCTTAATTGATCGTTTCCATTGCATAAATATTGAATTATCAATTCAAAAGCAGAATTTAAAATATTTGCTCAAAAATGAGTGTCTCTAATATTCCGATTTTTATGTAATTAATCAAGACGTCACATTTCATGAAAATATGGGTAAGAGAGTCAATAGTAACACGGTTCACTATTTCTAGTTGTAAAGTGCATTGAACCCATCAAATACATGCATTTTCCAATAATTCAGCCAGAATATTCTTGAAGGAACCGGGTAAGAATTGTATTATACGATTTGTTTTGGGAGAGGGGTTTTCGAGAAGAACCGAATGAGCTCTATAAGTAACTCTGTTCCGTTAGTCGCCCAAAAAGCGTTTTGGTTGCTTAATAAAAAAAAAGTAACAGGCACTTTCAAAAGATGTGTCGAACCTTTTTCAGTATTAATATCTGATGCTTGATATTTCAGTAGACAGATCTGATGTGTACTGAATGTCTGCAACATTTCAGTTGAAAATTGTGTGTTTGCTTCTTTCAGAATTGGAACTTTGCTTGATCACAACAAAGAACTACCACATGACTTTATGAAGGAGTTTCATAAGTGGTCTGTGGAATGTAAGTATTAATACCTACTGAAATATAGTTTAATAAATTACATTCTTGGGACACGATACGCGATAATGATATTTTCTAAGATAACATTCGTGAATGAGTTGATTAATAATTTTGAATATGAATTCGGTAAAACCTTCCGAAAAAAAATAATATTTACTGGAGTGAAAACTATGGCAAATTAAAGTTATTAATGTTCACCTAGAGAATTTTAAATGTGATGATCAGAAGGCAGGGTAACGTTGGTGCATAAACTTTGAAAGTGATTACTGTTATTAAAGGATTTTGATGTTAGAAATCAGGTGTCGAAAGAGAGAAGCAATTATGGGTCGGACAAGAATAACGTCGGAGATGATATTACAGACGGAACAAATACGCCTCGGCGCTTGCAATTTTTTCACTTTCTTTTTTATTTACATTGCAAGTTACACAGATCAGTACTGTAGAACTTTTACACATGTATTTTGTTGTGTTTTAAACTAACGTCATTCTAAATCTAACCACTCAGGGTAAGGGAGCGCATTAAACGCTATCATCTCCAAATCTGTCTGTATATTAAAAAAAGCTTAAATTGGGAAACTGTTTTTAACTCTTGTACGGGAATCTGGGATTCGAGCGAGCTTGAAATGGGATAGGTGGTCCTTTTGGTTGAGGTTTTGGTAGAATTTACTGGAGATCTTGGAAATGAATGTAATTTTATTTGGTATATTTAATTCATTGTGCAACTGTAAATTTGAATGTTTTTATATACCCGACCCGCAGGATCGAGGGAGTTTTCCCTAACCAGGTATCTCCCACCTGCGAGGACGCGCGCCAGTTGAGACAAACTGTAAGCTCCGGTCTGGTCTTCCGACATGTGTGGTAATGAAGTGCCTGTGAGTGTGTGTAAAGGGTGACGATAAGACAAGGAGGAGGAAGGAAAGATTGCGTGCAGTCCGTGGCCCGTTTGTTAGAGTACCGTTTCGACATTCGCCTGGTGTTGAGCAGAGAAACCACAGAAAAATACCCATCAGAGCAGCCGGCCGCTATAATGCTCCTCCTGACAGCGGCTGAGGAGATCATTGCCACGTACCGCCTAACATCTCATACAAGACTTAATGCTAATGATCTTCGCAGTTGTCGCGTTCGGAATCACGAAACAATCTTTCAACCCATGTCGTGTGATGTGCTATAGTTTCTCTTTGCCCCCTCCACAGTAACCCTGTGAAGAAGGGGAATTTATTATCTATAAATATTTATACATTATGCTGCTGCCTTGCGGCTTAAGCAGCTAGAGGCGGGGCTTTTTCTTACAACCAATCTAGACCTAAAGTTAACTTCCTTGCACTTTGGCATTACTAACTTACACTAAAATCATTTTTGTAATACTATGTCATGTTATTACGATGTGCTGTAGCGGGGGCTGGGCGTGTTGCGCAGCGATCGCGGCGGTGGCGCTGGACACGCGCCTGGGCTGCCTGGCCGCCGACCTGCGGCCGGGGTCGGACCCGCAGCGACTCATCGACGCCGCCCACACCGTCTTCGAGTGCTTCCTGCTGCTCGACTTCACGCCCTCGCTGTGGCGCTACGTCAGCACGCCCGCCTGGCGCCGCTTCGTCCGAGCCATGGACACCTTCACCGAGTGACTCTCCCATTCCTTTACGAACCATATTTTATGCAATATTTTACCAACAACGGAAATTTTTTTAATGTATTACAGCATTATAAATGGCATTAGGGAAGCAATCGTTCTTAAATGACATCTTATGGCAAATATTACGTAATTGATGTTTATGACACGAATAATTGCGTCATTACACATTCAGCCAATCGCAGTGAGAGAATCGTGGGGGGGGGGTATTACACCGAACAGCTGACGAGCGAATTTTGTGCACAGTTGTTAAATACCCGTGACGTCAAAATAAATACTTTTCCAAAAGTTAACTTTGAGTCTCTTATAAATTTATAGTGCTGTGATACAAAAAAATAATGTATGCAATTCGTTTATAATGTTCTTTATTGCACTGATGCAAATTAGAAAACTCATTTGTTTTCGAAACATGTTCTCGTGCATTAAAGTAAAATATAATAAACTATTTGCATAACTTACATAGTTAGCAAAGTATGACCATTTACATAAGGTGACTTCATCAAAACTATTATATAAGCATAATAATACATTAATTTCACCGTTTGCATGACACCCGTGATGAACAGTAGCAGGCTTGCTGTTAGAAGGCCAAAACATAGTTCACAAATATATTGCTTTACTATACTTCTCCCGTCGATCTATAAAATTAGTAATATTTTCTAACACTCCCTGAAATTTTCGGTGCATTTCGACCCACCTACAGAAACAATTTCTGAGTTAAAAATAGTATCTTAATTGAAAATTGATGAAATTTCATAAAAATATTAATACAGATCTTCCAATGTACACAAGATATATTGTTGATTAATATCGTTATGAGATTGGCCGAAGCTACATGATATTAAATTGTTTCCATTCCATACATCAGTCGGTGAGGCGGCCGACTAGGTGATTTCTGACCTAGAACTTGTTTGTGCTGTCTCTTGAGTCAGCCCAACGGCAAAGCACTCGGGCGCAATCGGTTTTAGGCTAGTGCAAGGCGTAGTAAGCGTACCACTGCAGATGACCATTGTGTGCATTCGGTCCCTAAGTATTGCATTTGAGCAGAATTGGGGTAGAACATCAATTTGGCATATATATGGGACTCCACTTTGAGACATTCAATTTCACATCGATTACTTAAAGTGTACAATACTTACCACAAGGTCTGAGAACGTTCAATTTTCAAAAACTCCTCTTCCATCATGCGCCACTAAAAGCAAACGAGGTGTTTGGACGATGAATTTGATGTAATTATAATTATCATGAAGCAGCGATGCAATGATCTCATATTCGACAACTCGCAAAATACGAGCCACAAACCTGTAATTTGAACCTTGCGTCCGCTTGCAATAGTTGGAAAAATCTAGTGGGCTACCCACTACACTATAGGTTGTCCCATTACTGTAATAAATACGTTGGTTTGGTCAAATAGGAAATTGCCTTGAATGGCATGTTGAGGCTCTAAGAAGTCAGTCGAAGTAACTCGTATCAATCGTATTAATCATCGAGTAAATCGTATTAATCATTTAATTTCGGTTTGTGAGCTAGATTTGTATCTCTGGATAAACGTTTGAAACCCCGGGCTCTTGTGGAAGTAGTCGAGTACAATTGAGCTCATTTTATTCTTCAAATCATTCCTTCAACCCATGTGGCGACAGGCTGAAGTGGAATGGAACATAAAAGAATACAATTTTAAGCGTTCGTCATGAAATCTTGTTAATAAGCAACGATGTCAATTAAAATATTGACAACATAGCCTTGGAGATGTTGCGTTTGCCTGACATAATGCTTGTAGTCAAATTTGCTTAGCTTTTTAGAATCCCTAGAACCAAACATTATTGTTTGTGAGCTAATAAACTGATTGCTTATATAGCATGTTGATGTCAATTAAGAACGCATTTTTCCAAGTTTCTCAGTTAAAAAATTCTAATAATAAAATAATTTACTAAAATAACTTCTCTTCTTAATAATTTATTAATCACTTAATTTAATAAACGTGTTTTCACTAACTTACACAATGTACAAAATCTATCTTCCTGCGTTATGTATTTTTCTTTGTCAAAATGAAAACATGGAAATGATTGATTGCAGTATAGCGGAAAAATACATCCAAATTGCAACTCAGCGAATAAAGCAGCGTTCTTCTGATGGCGAAGGGAGTATTTTGGAGCGCCTACTCATTGCTGAGGGCCCCGAAGTCGCCAACCTTATGGCGACCGACATGCTTTTTGGAGGAGTGGACACGGTATCGTTTGCATGTTTTATGATTTTCCTTTTCTGGTGAACAAAAGCTCTTATATCGAAAAATTCATTTTGTCGTATTTAAATATGGCCAGAGTCAATGGAGTTTTGGGACGTGGAATAGTGAATACGCGTAAAATCATGATCATGAAGTTTGATGCGTGCATGGTAAAGGTGAACCAAGTTTCAAAGCAAAGCTGAGCAATAGTAAAAAAGTCAATATTATCATTTTTAGTTTGTTCGCTGAAAACTCGTTAATTTGGCAAACAGCAATACAGGATGACTAATATATCATGTATCTAACATCGTTATAAGAGATTTCCCTCCACCAGCTTATTGGCAAAATGACCCCCTTACAAATTTGTAACAAATTTGGAACCATCCTGTATTAAACCGGTGCCTAACAAGTTGTTTTTTAATTATATTTTTATGTTAGGATAAAATTATATTTATGTTAGATCTACCAACGCAGTCTTCGTTGGTTAATAAAAGGGTAGCCGATACAGAAACAAAAGCCTGCGCTACCTACTGGGCAGGTTGAAAGTTGAAATTGTCGTACATTTCTTGAAGAGAGCAACGGCAAGCACTACTTAACTGCTTACTCATAAACCACTCACCAAAGAGAACAGGGACTTAATAAACAATTTACATATTTCACGCAAAAATATTTTAATATAAATGGAGTGTATTTAATTCAAATTTTCTTTTAAATATAGTCTTAAAGAAGGCAAACGTCTTGGTGATAATGTAAATGATAACACACTAAAAATACATTCAACCATAATTACACATTTAAATGCAATATCAAGGTTTACATCAAGTACATAACTATTCAAAATATCAGTTTATGTTTCTTTTGGCGTGTTTCAATGAATAAAAAATATTTTTATTTATATTTTAATGTATTTTATTTGCAATTTTTGTTTTAATTGCATTAATACCGTAATTTGAATGATAATACTAATTTAACATAAACTTGGGTGACATGTCAGTATTTTCTACAACTCATTTCATAATTTTATAGAAGACATTCATCACTATATTCACAGTATTAGTTGTGAACCATTAGCTTAAAATGTGTTAACTTTATTATTCGCATTTCAGACATCAAATTTAGCTGCATCACTTCTCTTTTACATAGCGACGAACCCTATTCCACAAGAAAAACTCGCTAAGGAACTTGAAATGGCTCTGCCCAACCCACGAGAGCCCATCTCAGCTCATGTGCTTGAAGGAGTTCCTTACTTGAAAGCTTGCATCAAGGAGTCGCTAAGGTAGGTTCGTTTCTCAACTCGTAAACGAATTTTGTGTGTTTAACATACTTTGTTTTTCATTTAGAAAACACCCAAACGACAATATCAGTTTGATTTTCATAAACTTGAAACGTATTGCGCTTTCAAATTTTGATTTTCGAACTTTGAAATTTCCGTAATACTTGCTTAGAATTTCTTACTAATTTATTATAATTGATAATAATTTTCTGGCACTATTGGATACATATATGAACTTAGACATTGTATTAAGATTGCGGAATTATTAAAAGAAGCCGATAGTTCTATTATTGTAATATGAGAGAAATACTCTTGTGTACAAATTCAATTATTTATGTTTTAATATATTACATTTGATTCTTCATTATATAAATGTGCTAAATTGATTTTAATAAGCAATGTATTAGTAAAACAAATTGAGTTATAATAATACTACCAGATCTGAATTATGTCCAGTTTCACTTAAAATAATCAATGTGAATTAATATATATTATCTACTTTTCTTTACTAACATCAAATTTCTTCGTTATTGCAGAATTTTACCTATTGTGTTTGGAAATGTGAGAAGAACGCAAACTGAAATGGTTGTGGATGGTTACAGAGTGCCCAAAAATGTACGTAATGTAATTCAATGGTGTCCATAGAAATAACTAGTGGTGATACAGAATGGCAGACTTTTTCGTAGTACAGTTTTCTTATTATCTTGGTCAGGGCTGGTTTTACGGTCTTGTCCTATTCTCTCCACAGATGCTAACTATCGCAACCCAAAAAATTTTTTTTAAACATCCCAATATTTCGCTTTATTAATGGAAGATTCTAAACATTACTTTTAAATATAAAAGAAGTGTAAAACTTTGTTATATATAGAAATTTTCGCTGAAAAATTTGGAGCTGTACTTTAGAAAAAATCGTGTAAGCTCCAGTGTATACGCGAAATTTGATGCTCTTTCTCAAAGTTTTTTTTTATGTTTTCAAAAATTTCATTTAATGTAATTTGAAGAACATTTACTCACAAATAAAGTAATGTATACAATTAGCTGCAAATGCCTATATTAACGGCGTAAGATATATTTTAAAATAAGTACATTTGTGTAATTTTTGAAAAGCAAACGAAAGCAGCAAACTTAAATCAATGTCATCTTAAATAGTGCAATAAGCATTATATTCGTATTAAAAGTTTAATGAAACACTTTGGAGACGTTTTTGAGAAAATGGTGTTTGAGCGTTTTTGAAAGTGTGGAATTTTGAGCTTGTTTTCACCGAAAACTATAGTTTTCAACTTAATATGGCATTATTTATAACACATGTACTTGTAAATGAAATAATGTGAACAAATCGCCGCTAATGCAAATATTAAGGATGTGCGAGACAAGAAAATAAATTTATGAATTTTGCAAAAACAAAAGAATCCCGCATAGTCGTGTGTATGTCATCTCATACGTAGAGTACATTTTGATCTATATTTAAATTAAAAATTTAAATTTTAAATTTTGTAGTTGTAGAAAGTCACAACAAATTACACTTTGGCAATTTTCGAAAGTTCAGAGGTAACCGTGAAAATCGGACCTATGGCATCTTAAAAAGTGTATTTTACTCTATTCTTACAATAAACTTAAAGAAACAATTTGGTTTTTGAGAGAGTTTTGAAAATGTCCCAGGGATTTCATATAAAGTACCCCTAAATTTTAAAGAATGTTTTTCAATTACTCAAAGCTCAAAGTCGAGCTAGATGGACAGGGGTTTCTTCAATTTGAAACAATCTTACGCATGGTTTAGCCGCTGGTAGTGTTCACAGACGGACAGAGTTATTTTCTATTTTGATGGGACATGTGAACGTGACCTTGACAGGACTTCCTGTTTTAATCGAAGTTTTAATTTACGTATTGTATTGAATCAGCAAACATTTTGTTTAATTTTGTAGGTAGTCAAATAAAATTATGTAAATATTTGTGTTCTTAAAGAGAAATGCAGAATATAAAAATACTATGTTCAGACATATTCATACTATGCCATGTACTTGTATAATAAACAAAAATACAACGCTGGAGTAAGGGACAGAGATAACGCAGTGGGATCAATATATTCAGAAGAATATTACTTGAAACGTTATTATAATGCGAATCAAGAAATAGCATTCGAGATTAAGAATTTGATATCTGAATTTATTTTCAGTAATCGAGTGATTCAAACATTCGAAACCTTGTTGAGATGAAGAGCAATCTCTTTCCAGGTGCTCAGTGCATCAGCTGATATCACTGCAATCCCTCTCACCGGAAAGTCCTAGATTCGAGTCCCGGTGGTGCTCGGATTTTCGACAGAAGCTTCTCAGCTAGGTCGAATTCAGTCGCTGTCTGGGCAAGAATTATAGCGGCCAGTTGCTCTGATCGACAGTTTCCGTGAATTTGTCGATCAATACCAGGTGAATGACGGAGCAGTACTTTTAACTCACGGACCACGCCAGATCTTACTTTCCTCTTCCTTGTCATGTCGTCACCCCTTTATACACCTTACACTAACATACAGTACAATAACACACACGCCGGAAGACCAGTTGGGAGTTTATCGAATGTCCCGGCTGGGGCAGTTCCACGCTGGTGAGAAATACTTGTTTGGGGAAGAGGTCAGTAGATCAGCTTCGGATCTCACCATACAGCGGGGTAAAGATCACTGCCCCCTCCAGAGCAAACACACGCCCCGCACAAGCGGGACTTGCGGGACTAACGACCAATCAATCACTAACAATCAATCGTTTTTCCAGGTGGACATGTTACTGCACCACATGTTAATGTCGCACGACGAGCGCCACTTCCCGCGCCCGCTGTCCTTCGAGCCCGAGCGCTGGCTGCGCGGCGGCGCGCATGCGCACACGGCGCACCCCTTCGTCAGCCTGCCCTTCGGCTTCGGCCCGCGCACCTGCGTCGGCAGGCGATTCGCAGAGATGGAGGTGCAGGTGCTCCTCGCCAAGGTAAGAGAAAGTTTGCGCGGCATGGAGTTCTAACCTCCGATTTCCACATAGTGGTTCCTGTCATTTTGGCATTAGATCTGCAGATTGGATGGCAATGTCCCCCTCTCCTTCCAGCTCATGACCTTGAGGCGCCACTATAAAAAAATCAAAGTATACTTTGTTTACGATGTAGTGGGGACTTGATGACTAGTGCCAGTATGCCATGGCACCATCAACAAAAAGGAAGAAAAAAACACTTTTCACCAAAAATATGTGTATAAAATATCGCTTCTTCTAAATACTTTTTTTATATTATTTGTATAGTAAACGTATTGGAATAAGTGTTTAGTACTTCAATGCTCTTATCAATACTATCCACAATCTCTCTGGAGACTATGCTACTATCTGTCGGCCCCTTTCTAAACCGCTAAGCCACCTACGGAGTGGCTCTGTTTATGCTCATTTAACGCCGTATAAAGAATGGTGAGTTGGTTTGTCTCTTGTGTATGAGAGGGAGCCAAAATCAAACTGACCATGTGGTTTACATTGTCCGGTAAAGTGCAGAAATATTAAGGAATATATGAGCTACTCTCTTCTTCCCTTCTTCGGCGATCTGAAAAAGCCCTAACCTCTCGAGATAATTTTTGGGCGATCAAGCTGAGTATTTTATTTATTTTTATTACTTTTACTTTGTTTCAGTTTCTTCTACTTCATAAATGAATAAACACGGTCACTGTAAAATTAAAATGTGTGCTTACGAATTTAATGTTACTGCATAGAATACTGAACTATCTGTAAAACATCGATATTTTAAAAAAATCAATGTATTTTGATAGATTTTTATTAACATATGTATACATTTTTAACATCGATAATTACAAACAATTGGTCGATGTTTTGTTATGGTCGCATTATTAACTGTCAATAAGATTCCGTACTGGCCACCACTGAACCGTTGTAAATTCCCTTTTGAGCCCTCTGCGCACGAGTCGACTATAACGATACGTTTCATCGGAAAACAATATTCCATGAAAATTATTGGGTGTAATCACATGATCACGATATCATGTATGATACAAGCCGCGTGATCCCGATCAATGGAATTTGTTTTAAACTCTAGAGCGGGGGTGCTGTTAACAATATTCCCATGATGCCACATGTTGGTGGGCAGTTATATTCCAGCAAATTCAAAGAGTGTGTGGCATTATATATTTCGCATTAGCAGCACATTCTGCTGTTACAATTATGAACTACAATATTTTCATTTATCGTAGCACAATAATTTATCGTTATCAATATGAAGCGCAATGCAACTCACTTCTCAAGGGACACAGGTCACGTGGTTGCCTTTAACGTGCAACACATTGTTAACGGTATGCTTTATAAAAACCCTCTAATATACTAAAACCACTCATGACTATGGAGTAGAGATGCGACATCGATGTCGATGTTTTGAAAACATCGATGTTTAGAGCTCGCTGTTTTACGTATTGGATTATTTTCTGTAAATGGAACCAAACAATACAATAATCACAATTTTGTAAGAGATAAAGTATTGACATGTAACTGATTATTCGCGTGTTCGAACGGAACGGACCTTCATCGAGCATAGCAGAGCATCTCTTGGCCGAGCGATGACCCCGATGCACTGATATTTTCCCTACGCCTGTCGTCCCCGTAGCCCCCCCCCCCTTCTTCCCGTTCCCTTTTCGGCAAACTTAGGAAGCTCTGAATCCCTGAGATGACGCTTTCAGACTCGGTTTCTCGGAAGAAAGTGAAGTTAATAGACAGCAGTGCTGTTCGTGTGCAAACTGTTTTTACAAACTGTCGATAAAAATATTGGGTCCTATATCAATAATAATAATAATAATTATTATTATTATAATAATAAATATACAAGTGTTAACTGTATTTTCGTGGACAAAATAACATACTAAGACATATTTTTTGTATTACTCCTCTGATAATAAAAGTTTAGTTAAATGTCATTACTTTTTACTTTTTGACAGTCAAATCTTCATTAGACATTCAACACGACCACTAGTATCGATTCAATTTTTCTCCGCGATAGAATGACAACTAGACTCTATTAAATCAGATATACAAACATATGTTTAAAAACATCGATGCTTTTTGAACGATGTTTTTTAACATCGATGTTTCTTTATCGAAGTAATATCCATCCCTATTACGGAGGCGACAATTTAGTTACAGCTAAACGACTTTGGAACGAGCGCGTGAAGACTGCGATTTCCTCAGGAGGCGTTGCCCCCTGCTGTTTGAGAGGAGAATCCCCCCCTCCCCCTACTTCGATTTCTCTTTCAAGTTTTACAAGGAAAATCTCTTAGAATATATTTTCAATTAGAGACGTTACGTCGGTTTTTGTATTTAAGTTCTTGATTGAAAAAGTAGATTCTCAAAATCTACATGGAAGATTTCTTAAACGATCTTCTGAATTTTTGAATTCATCAGAAGTGGCACAAGTCATATACGAAGACCAATGTTGCCGTAATTCAAAAGAGGCAATCTTCTGTTTCTTCCAGTTATTTAGATTTTGTAGTTACTTGGAAGTCGATGCTGTTATGAACATTAATTTCGAAGAAAATATTGCAATTTCGAAGAAAATGGTGATTTTTTTAAAAACTAATTTTTGAAACATCTTTGTTAATAATTATTCATTTCATATCAATTTCTGTGTGGTTTCGATTTCAAATTGTTACACTTTTGCCTAGCACCAAATATTATTGTGTTATTAGTGACCAGTAGGAAATAAATTCATTAGTGGGAAATAACGTTATTAACTGAACGCACGTTTTTTAAGATTAAAATTAATCGTAAGTGCATTACATGTATCTTCTGTTTCAGATGGTGCGGAATTTCAAAATAGAATATCATTATGGAGACAAACTGCAGTATCTAACAACTATAATGAATAATGTCACCAGTCCTTTAAAATTCCGACTTCTTCCTCGTGGAAAATGAATTTTAATATACTACGTAATTTTTACCAAAGAATAAAAATAGCTGATCACCCAAAAATATTATAGATTTTTATACATGTTAGCACTAGAACAATGTGTTTGCTTATTTTCATACAAATGCAATTCTAATATACTATGTAATTTTTACCAAAGAATAAAAATAGCTTATCACCCAAAAATATTATTGACTTTTATACATGTTAGCACATGAACAATGTTTTTACTTCTTTACATACAAATGCAATCTATTTAGTCATATTTATTTTCAGAGGATTTTTTCAAGAATAATAATTCATTAAAAATGTTTTAATAGATATTTTAATAGATAATTGATCTATTGAAGGTAAATTTTAATATGGAATTAATTGTTTGATTATTAAATATGAATAGGACGGACAGTACTCTCAATGAAGATAGGCTTACCTATTCGTTATCATGTAAGCGACTATTTGATCATGAATTAAATGATAATTCGCGACTTTTGTGTAAAGATTGTTAGAACAATCACATTTCAATAACTGTCAATAAATAATAATTTTTAATAACACTACTGTTTATCAAGTACATTATTTTTTTTATTCACCCTCGTATTCTTCTTATTAATTTACAATAATTTTATATTTTAATTGCGTTAGCGTATGTAAGTAAGTTGCAAATTCGCAACTGCAGCTTTATGTACCCGAAAGTGTTAAATTCTATTTTTTTAATTGGTGAATTTTCGATAACAGTTAAGGAACCCAGATGAGTAACACCTTCGTCTAGATTGTAGTTTTTCGGTCGTCCGTTTTGGTGGTGTCCGATTTATCAATAGCAGCCTAGAATAATAACGGAGGTCCCAGCAATAGCAATACAAAACCTTGAAGCGGATCACACACGAGCGCAATTCTTTCTTCCTTCCTTTCTTCCTTATCCACCTGCCCCTTCCGGAATCCGTAGGCCCTGGTTATGGGCGAATCGGGATGCCAATCGCACATCCTCGTTTGTGTGGGAAATCGGAGCGGCGCGCACGCCCGAGCAATCGCTTGCTTCGGAACTCGAGGAATGTGCGGACGCAGAGGGATTAAATATCCTTGGCTGCGACGTGAGCTAAGTAGCTCAACCGCGTGATTAGGTAAAAGCTACTGATGCTGATTTGTAAAGACACTGACGGATTCAACTAATTCCACTCTCAGTAAAACAAACTATATAAACAAATTTACTATGATGATTTTTTAAAACACTAATAAATAAGGGGTGATATAATGAAAATACAACTCATACAAGTAATGTAATATAAAGATACTAATTATTTCTTCAATTTATTTTGAATTATTATACTGTAATTGATTTTATTCTTTGGTAAAGCAAGACAAGACCGCAGTTTTTTACCTGTCAGTCTTTCTCGATCTCGATTTGGATAATTTCATAAATGAAAAGTTCACAAACGTAAATACTGCTAAACAAACATTATTTGAGGAAGCAAATTCACGGAGCCTGAGAAGCTCGTTGGAGCTCGCTGTAAAGTTTCCATAAATCGATTGCTTCATTAGCCACTTTTAATTTCAGGTCATGCAGCAATTTAAGTAATTCTATTTTAAACTTTTGTGGCAAATCTTCCGATTCAGTAGGAAAGGATACTGTAAATAGTTGCAGCTTTTCTGGACGTTTTATCATTTCCTAAGCGCGTAGTGCACTCTCTTAAGAGATCTTCCGGCGGCCTGGATAGCCGAGGTCGCTAGAGCTGGAGGGCCGCGGGTTCCAATCCCGTCTAGGCATCGTTGCGTGTGTGTGTACGTGACCCTACGTATTCTCCCTACAGTCCCCCCTACCGTAATAAATTATCGGTTGTCGCTATAAGACCAAGTTATTGAAAAGTGACCTTAAAATATCTGCCATAATACTGATGTTCTTCTAGCTCTTTATCCCCATACTAATTGATTTTAGAGAGGGAAAATGACACAAATGTCCATCATTAGAAAAAAAACAATGTTTTTCTTAGATACATTTTTCAAGGCATTAATAGTATTATTAGTTTCATGTATCAACCTGTTACGAACCTAA